GACTCCAAACTTTCACTCTCCTCCTGTCGGCTTCTTACCGGTGGTTTATAGTACTCTGGTAAATCCTTTATTTCAGCCTCTTGCTCCTTCCCCAGTTCTGTGCACCTTTGTCCTATAGTGCATGATGAACAACATCTCTTCAACTTTCCTTTCCTTTCCTTCTTATTTTCCTTCTCCAGTGCCAGCACTAATGGATCTTGTGGGGGTGCCAGACCACAGTCTGATATTCAGGGTGCTTTTGGAGGGTGAAAAACATTTTTGCATAGGAGACTTCATCCCACTTCCCCTCCCTCCTTAAAAACAGCTTCAGTTGTAACAGTGTTATAATTCAAGGTCCCATGAAGGGGCCATTTTTCCCCATCATCCAATTTATATAGGGGCCACCACTGATTACAGTGTTTTATTAGGGTCTTTTTATTCACACTTCCACCCTGAGGTCTCCCTATCTTCTTCCAGTGTGTTAAAATACAGCCCAGGGGACTTCTTGACTATTCCTCCACTTTGTCCGCCTCCCATCTTGTCTCCTTTACCCCTTAAGCTAGCAACAATAATATCTCACTCAGGCAGATGGTACAAAGGTGTAGTCTCACCACAGCGTACGCACCTAAATTCAGGACAACGATTTACATAGAATTACTGCCTCCCATTAAAGGAGATATTGTACCTATGACACTTAAAACACTTTGCACGAACAGGCAGCACTGATGACACAGCGGGCGGGCACTAGGGTGCGCTCGGTACTCAGGAACGTTAACTTGTCCTGCACATGCTGTCTCAGCTCAATTAAAGGGTCCTTTTACTGATTCTTTATGAAAATTTCCACAAATTACTTGTCTGAGCTCTTCCGAGCGTTCTATTCTGTCCCAATCCTACAAGTTCTTACAATTTTTACACCACAAATCGCCTCTAAACCAAACCCAGACGCATTTTCCACAAATAAAACAGTCCATCACAAATATCGGGTTACATGAATAATCCCAACACCCGCGTATAGGACACCAGAAGTTGACAACTGGTTCAGCTCACACTGTTCCAGAGTCTGCCCTGCACTTCGTTCCTCTCCGACCGCTTCCCTCGCGGGATAACGGAACCGCACTCGCTTCGCAGCTGGGCCACGTCTCACACAAAACACACAACGAGGCCCTTTACACTTATTACTCAAACAACATAAAATAACATTGCTAACATCAAAATACCAATTACAACAACTGCTAAAGTCACGTTTCCCAGCAGCGATCACATACCATGAGCCGTTTGCTGTTCATTGATCACCACAGATCCACAGCTGATCAGTATGGATTAGATTATAACACACAGCACCAGATTTTACATTTGATGATAATAATGGTTATGCCACACACCACTCCTATACTCCCGTTCTAGGAAGACCCAAGCCAGATCTAGAATGTGGTCAGAGTGTCGAAACTACTCTGCCCCCAATGGACCCCACTACCTTTTGGGGACTCGAACCCCAACCCCAGGGGCGAGCTCAAAGGCTCTTTACCTCGCGTAGGATGTCTCCTCGTGACTTACAGGATCCCCCCACCTTCTCCAGCACACCTGGAACACCGATGGATGGTCCTTGTCTGCCAAGATCGGGAAAGCGAGGGAGGTTCGCCGAGAAAGAAACCTCAGGGAGTGCCTAGAACGTCCCTGTCTCAGCCGGTCCTGCAGCCAAATGGCTGCATGGAAACGAGATCTACGACTCCTGAAGAGTTAAAAAGTAGGTATGTTTATTCTGGCACTGGGGTGCAAGGCGATTTTTCCACAAAGCTTGCACACAGTCTCCCCAAGTAGCCAGATACTTATTACACTAAGGGTTGCACAATACAAACATACATATGCATAACTAAGGCGGGGTTTAGTTCAAAAGTCTGTGTCAGCAGTTCTGAAATGTTTATGTGTCTTTGCACTTGCATATTCCCTCCTGGTGGTCATCTTCAGGGGTCTTCTGGAGGAAGGCCTGCAGTCTTCCTCACTGTGTACTTTCCACCTTTCGCTGGGAATGCTGAGTTGGTGGGGCCCCAACTCACAGAGTCGGTCTCTGCCAGATGGTTGTTTTCACAAAGATAACAGAGTCTCCAAGCTGTTCCTGTTATCTCTTTGCTTTATACCTCAAGGTTAGCTGCTACTTTCTTATCATACTAAGCCAACCCCCTAGTCTACTAGGTTACACGAAGTAATTTTACCAGGTGGTGTGGTTTGAACTCAGCAGGTAGCAAATTGCCACATGGCCAGTTGTTCACTCGCCCCCTTTCCCTCAGTGAAATAGGGGAGAGACAGGGAAAAAAAAAAAAAAGAAATTTTTATGTTAAATAACAAAAATTTACGTAGCAAAACAACAGTAATTATAGTAGTCTAAAACAGGTAAAATGCAGTAGTGGCTCACCGAACAGCAACCGGTACAGAGCTCATCCTGAGTAGCCATCTTAACCCACCAGAGAAACCTGCCCAGCCCATCCAAAAAAACCTCCCTATATGCTGTGCTTTGATGTCACAGGACATGGAATGGTCCAATGATCAATCGGGACCCAGCCCTCCAGCTGTGCTCCCTGTGCACAGGGAAAGTTAACTCTATCCCGGCGAAAACCAGGACACTAGGGAAAAGAACAAAGAACAAATTCTACATTTCTTGACTCAATGCATGGTTAAAAAACCAAAAGAAATAAAAAAAAGAAATAGGGTGTTGAAGAGAGTACTAGTTAAGAAGGAGCAGTGGGAATAAATGGATGAAAGGGAACATTTGTGATGGCCTTGAAAGAGTACTCAAAGAAAATCACTTTTAGCAGAGGTCATCTCCTCCCCTCTACCCACGGTTTCAAAACCTGCTTTGCAAAACTTAAAATATGTATTTCCTCCCCCAGATAAGACATTTTCCCCACCCTTCTTCACCCACCACATTGATTAAATTCATGAGAACCATACTGACTTCTGATGAGAGCACCTGAGAGAACAAGGCTGTCTCAGTATCTTGTATGTGGTTTATTGCCTTTAGCTCACTGTAGTTACTCACGTCAAACTGGAATTTTTTCAGCTTTCACAGTCTTTCTGTGCATCCTAATCCACACTGAATTAATGCTATAAAGGTTGACTAGTGTAGAAAGGTTTGTTAAAATAATTTTTAAAATAACCAGCTAACATCACTGCAATTTTTCTTTCCAGATTTGTGAGGGAAGTGCTCAGTTTCAAACGGTGATCATCCTGTTGGATAGTTTGATGTTCTTCAGTGGCCCATCTCTTAGCTACGTGAGCACCTATGTAATGTATTTCACAGCCAAGTTCTCTACCTGAGCAGCAATATCTCACGATCACAGGCAGCAGCCCAAACAGGTTTGCCTCTGTGCTGCCAGTTGTTCCATTTCCATTGCTTCAACCACCCACACAGCTCATTCACCACTGTCCATGAGTCGGTCCAGAGAAAGAGCACTGGCCACCTTTCTCACTCGCTGATAGCCAAGACCAGCTGGAAGGCTTTCACCTCTGCTAATTCACTCTGTAGTCATGGGCCAGGCCTCAGCACGTTGCAGTGCTCTGTGTCTCTCTGGAATTACCAGGATGACAGCATATGACTTCCAGAGATGTTACTAGTTCTTCAGGATTCTGCACCTGTTCAGGAGTGAAGTTCCAATACAGCGGAGGTGCCCACTGTCCTGGGCACTTGCCCATGCTATCCCACAGCCCCAGCCACTCATAATTCTCCAACCTGGGGGTAGATCTCCGGGCGATACTCTTAAATAGTTGCTTAAGCCTGAGCATGAGTGCCGGAACACACCAGCTCCCAGCAGTAAGACGTCCACAAGATTCCCCAAATTCTCAAACACAATTGTAAGTCCCCTCAGGAACAACAACTTCATCGTGCCATAAGTCAGTGTTTTATAGTGCGGCAAAACAAAAATCTCACTCCAGCTCCCACGGGTGGTAAGCAGCAACATGGGGACTATGTTCAGCAAATGAGGAGAGGAAATGTTAATGACCCAAGCGATCGACTTTATGACCAGCAGGTGATAAGCCAATAAAAGGAATGCTTCTAACATACGATTATGACACACTGACCTGATCAGCCGTTACGTGAAGGCTTCAAGCCCCACGCTGGGCACCAAAACGCACTGTCATGGTTTGAACTCAGTCGGCAGCCAAACACCACGCAGCCGGCTGCTCACCCACCCCTCTCTGGGGGAATGGGGGAAGGGAGGGACACAAGGAAAACTCGTAGGTTGAGATAAAATAAAACCAGTTTAATGACTGTAGTAAAACAAGCCGAGAACAATAATGGAAAGTACCAATGGGTAATGCACAATGCGATGGCTCAGCACCCACCGACCGATACCCAGCCCGCTCCCAGCCAGCCATCCCAAGAGAACAGAGATCCCGCCGTGGCAGCACACAGCCCTGCGGCTGTGCAGCTCAAGGAAACGAACTGTATCCCAGCTGAAAGCAGGACACTCTCGTAGCAGATTAGAGATACTCTGTGAGTGTGGGAGAAAACTGGAGACAGGCGAGCAAGCGCTTCAAGTGACCGCAAAGTAGGGATGGGGCAGCCTGTAGTATTTCTGTCAGGATCAAAGCAGAAGGTCCAGGGTTCGTGCCGGGGTGTGTGAACCCTCTGGGAGGAGCCGGTGGGTACCGGCAGGTGCTGAGGGGACATGATGGGGGCCTGGGGGCAGCCCGAGAGGAGCCATGGGCCAATGGCCAGCTGGGTCCATACCCCCCACAGGGGAACCCCTGCCCCGCCCGACCTGTGTGACATCACAATGGGAGTCCCTTTGTGACATCCCTCTGTGTCACCCCGCAGCACCAGAGAGAACCAGCGCAGCCCCGCAGTGTCTCACAAGACGGGGAAGGGACAGGGCAGGAGCACAGTGAGGAGACTCCTGAGCACAGCCCACATTTCCCCCTGGCGCTTCCCTTAAAGTGAATCCCCCCACTGTCCCTCAAACTTTCCTCCACTTTTGAAGATGCAGCAGACACCCCCCAGACACCCCAGGGTGGCTTGGAAGGAGATGGAGGATCACAGCGAGAGCAGCTCTCTGCTGGAGCCTGACACGGTGTCCATGGTCCAGCCGCTGCAGATCGGTGAGTGAGGGGGCCGATGCCGGGACCCCATTGCCCGCGTTTCAAGCTCTTGTCACCCGTTGGGAGGCTCGTTGGCCAAGATGGCTGTTGGCTTACCAACTCTTCCATGGTTCCGTGTAGATGAGACGCTGCTGGAGGAGAATCTAGAGGAATCGGGATGCGATCCTGAGGGCACCTGGTTGCAGTCTTCCCTCCGCAGCAGCATCCTGACAATGGTAAAGAGCTCCCCCCCGCCGAGACCCTTGTCTGTGGCATCTGCTTGTGCAAGCAAAGGGACCCAGAGGTGGTCGAGCTGCTCAGACAAGCTCAGTGTAACACATCTTCCCCCGTTCTTCCTCCCATAGGCGTTTGGGGAAGATCTTCAGCCTCCTCAGAAGACGGAAATTCTCCTTGTGGCCATTGAAGCCTTGACAGCGGATGACGTCCACGACAGGCAGATGGGCATCGGCATCGTGGACATAGCCATGAAATACCATGTGTCCTGGCTGAGGGATGTAAGTGCCCCGTGGCTGGAATGTCCTTCCGTGTCCTTCCGTGTCAAGTTTGTTCTTCCCTCCTGCCCTATGTCAGCACTCTCAGACACCCGAAACCATGTCAAGGCAGCAGGCAGGGATGGGAAGGGCAGCACCATCCTAACCTGTATCCCCTCCAGGTGCCAAAAGTCCTGAGAGGCATCCACAAAATTGTGGAACACATCCATGCGGAGCTGGCCCGGCACAGCCTGGACTTGCTGCTGCTACTGCTGCTCAGGTGGAGGCCCAGGGAGGTGGTCAGGACCCTGCTGGACATCTCTCCAACATGTGACAGGTACCGACCCTGACAGCCCTGAGGACTTTTTCCCACGGGGGGGGAGAGTGGCCCAGAGACCCTCTGTCTGCCAGACCCACGGAAGCAGGGAAGAGCAGGGCTCCCCATCCCCCGACGCTTCCAAGGCTTGGGCCAGAGCTGGCCAAAGCAGAGCCCCTGCCCCATGGGGAACAGCTCCTCAAGCTCCTGCTGCCTCCCCGTGCTCCCCAAAATGGGGGGGGTGGGCAGGGCCGGGGTCCAGATGAACTGGCCCCCGGGCGCACTGGCCGAGGCAGCTCTGCTGACGGAGTTTGCTCTGACTCGGCAGCGCTGCCGTGGCCCTGTGGGAAGTGCTGATCTCCGGGCGCTGGGCTTTGTGGAGAGTCTTGTCAGAGATGCTGAGCGTGCTGCAGGACTGCCGGCTGCGCAGGGTCTTCAGCTGTGCCGCAGAGGACTCCTGCATCTACCCCTTGGCTGTGAGTGACCACGCTCTGCCCCAGAGCTCTGCCTTTGTTCTCCTCCTCCTCCTCCCAGACGCCTGTGCCACATGCTCAGGCCCACCCGATGCTGGTTTGGCCCCACCAAGCCTGTCCCGGCACAGGCAGCACTCTGCCTTCCACCCTGCCTGCATCCCCCTGCCTGGCTCTGGCCCTGGCACAGAGACGTGGGGACTCTGAGGTGGCTTCAAGGGG